TCACGTTAGCAGAGGGTTCACAGTCTAGTTAAAGAGGAAGACAGTAAGTACCTGGCAAGGGCTTCAGGATCTATACAAGGCATTTCTCCACGGGGAGTACATGCAGCCAGAGGGGACAGGGGACAGGGAGAGAAGTTGGTACCAGAGACCCTGGGAGCTGGTGGGTCAGAGGGAAACACTATAAACCAGGGGAGGGAAAGATCCTTAGAAGATGTGTCAAGTCCAGAATTTCTCTGCTGTTTTACAATTCAAGAATTTGGGGATTGGCTGTTTCTCTAAAGTGCCGCTTATAGCCTGCTGGTTTATCCTTGCACGTCAGAAAAGCAGACCACGCCGCAGGGTACCTGTAGGCCCAGGCTTGCCAGGCGCCCAGGGCTCAACAGTGAGTGATGACGAAATCTTCCTCCCAGCCGGCCCTACTTGGCAGGGCCACGCAAGCAATGCTTGTTAATTGATTTTCAGTGAGTGCCCTACGCACGGACCTTCAAGTGTCGAGCGTTCCCAGATGACAACGTGCGTTTTCATGTCCAATCACGTGGGTTAGTTCACGTGTCCGGCATACACTGTCACGCGCGTGCGTCCTCTACAAGTGGTTGTGCTTTTGTGTACTTTACAGTACTGTAGTACAGTATCTTTATTTCAAGGTAGATCTGCGAGAGGACAACCTCATTGAACTCCTTGCTGTGCAACACGAGCTTACTAATGAAGATCTGATGGAATCTGCCTCCAGAGAAAGGGCGAAGAGAGGCGAGAGGAAGAAGTAAACTGAAAAACTGAAGAGATTCACGACGCAGGAGACGGCAAGGGGATTTTCTGTATTTGAGGAGGCACTGTGAGTTTCTGAGGCACGGGACCTGAACGTAGACTGGTAGACGCAGGTTGCAGCAGCCATTCAGAATGCAATCCAGTGCTACCGTGTCATCTCTGATGAGAAAAAAAGAGCTACTACACAGACATCACACTGGATCGTTTTTCAAGAGGGTAGGTAGACTTGAATTCAGCAAGGAACCAGAACCTCTGCCATCCACGTCAGGCGTGCGTGAAGTTGCAGCTGGCCCTCTGTCTCCTATCGGTGACGATCCTTCAGCTCTACCGTCGCCCACCTCCTCTCCCTCCTCCAGTCGGTAACTCTTCTTACCCGTTCACTCGATGCCAGCCCCTGGATGCCAGCTGTTGTGCTGTACTACTGTCCTTTTCAAGGTACTGTACCGTAAGATTAAAAATATTTTATTTTTTTTAAATTTTTATTTATTTATTTTTTTTTTTGCGGTACGTGGGCCTCTCACTGCTGTGGCCTCGCCCGTTGCGGAGCACAGGCTCCGGACGCGCAGGCTCAGCGGCCATGGCTCACGGGCCCAGCCGCTCCGCGGCATGTGGGATCTTCCCGGACCGGGGCACGAACCCGTGTCCCCTGCATCGGCAGACGGACTCTCAGCCACTGCGCCACCTGGGAAGCCTGTTTGTTTTTTATGTATTATTTGTATGAGACTATTCTAAACCTATTACAGTACAGTACTATATAGCTGATTGTGTTAGTTGGGTACCGAGGCTAACTTTGTCGGACTTATGAACAAATTGGACTTACGAATGTGCTCCTGGAACGGAACTTAAGTACTGTGTTTGAGCCAACACTTGTCGCCTCGAACAGGAGTGAACATTTAGGTTTTCAGCATTTCAAGGATTAGTGTTCAACAAAACTGAAGGTGAGTGAACTGGAGACATTTAGAAACATCTTCAATATTTGTTTCAATGCCTGAGTATCCTACAGCCATACAAGTGGATACTACATGAGGGTTGAAGTGATCGGGGATAGTTCTGGCATTAAACATGATAAGAAATTAGGTCCAGGGTATATTAAGTGAAAAGAAACATGTTGCACAACAATATATCTAATATATGCCAATTTAAAAAAATCTCCATTACCCGTTTGGCATTTCTCTTAGTTTTGTTCACCTCCATTATTTCAGACTCTGGAAATTCTCTTTCATTCTTTCCTTAAAATATAAAAACTGCCATGAAAACACTATGGCCAGAGGCAAGGCAGTCTGCCCAGCCGAGGACAGTGTGTACCTGCTAGGACAGTGTGACGTCCTTCACCTGCCACTTAGTGTCACCGTGTCTGCAGTCTACCTATATGAGTGGCTTGGTCACCACCAAGCCAGACTGTGTATGTATATATGTATGAATGTGTGCCTGCTTGTGTTATACATGGAGAGAAAGCGAGTGTGGTAAAATGTCAACAACTTCACATTTCTAGGAGTGTCCATTCTATTTCTTCAACTTTTCCATGTTTAATTTTTTTCAAAATAAAAAGCTGGGGAAAAGAAATAAATGTTCCCTGGACTTGAAGCACCACCCCAAAACTTCTTAATGTAGGTAGACTTACTAGACCGATTTCCCTGGCATAAGGTGGCCATGGCCACTTACTTTTATAACTTATTATTTTTAATTTTTTTACCTTTTTTTTTTGGCCGTGCTGCATGGCTTGAGGGATCTTAGTTCCCTGACCAGGGATCAAGCCCGTGTCCCCTGCAGTGGAAGCGTGGAGTCTTAGCCACTGGACCGCCAGGGAAGTCCCCCCAGCAATTCTTGAACGTGTCTAGACACCTGTGAACTCCCCATCTTACTGATGGTTTCACTGAAGGCCAGACAATCCACCAACTCCGAGTCTTTCAAGACACGGAGACTAAACCAGAGGCAAAATGACATTCTGATGCTCCACTTTTAAGACTAGGGCTTTGTGGGTTTTCCTGGTGGACCCTGGCATGATTAATAATTCCGTGGTTCACTGTGGATCTTTAATGAGAAAAGGTACAAATTACCGTTCAAAGTAAATTATATTGTCTACACAGCCATTCCCTAATAGAGGAAAAGGGTGAGTTGGTGTGGAAATGAGCAGCTCAGGGAGATATATACACACTTACACACACACACACGTGCGCACGCGACAGTTAAGTATCTGAAGCATCAATATCTATGCTTGCTTTATTCCTTCTAAAATTTAAGAATAGTCTAGTATAGCTATTCTGTTCTTTCTTTACAGAATAACACTGTAAAATTTAGAATTCAGATTAACTCTTTCAAGGGCAATGCTAAATTCAGGCCGGAAACTGCTGGCTTATACATCTACAATCAGAATGATTTTGAAACACTCGCATTTATAAGGCATGCAGAATTTGGAAACTACAATATACTAAGTTATTTAAAAGGCACGCAGAATTTGGAAACTACATAAGGCATGCAGAATTTGGAAACTACAATATACGAAGGCATGCAGAATTTGGAAGGCATGCAGAATTTGGAAACTACAATATACTAAGGCATGCAGACTTTGGAAACTACATCATAAGGCATGTAGAATTTGGAAACTACAATATACTAAGTTATTTAAAAATACTGAGCCCCAAAGTACATATTGCTTAACACAGTCTTTGTTTCTTTTCCTGGACTGAATCACAATAAATCGTTCAACACAGCCTGTGCAATTAACAGACCCAGCTTTGATACTCACTGGCAAATGACTCGTCTCCTGAAAGAATTACTGAGCTCCCCAGGGTCCAGGCTCTGTAGGCTGTCCTCACCAATGCCGTGCATTCTAACAAACTGTATCTTTGGATGCCAAAACATCATAGGGTTGAAAGGCAATAAATCTCTATACCGAGATGAACACGCCTCAGTGTGAAGTTTTAAAGTGCTACCAGAAAGTCAAATAATTGCCTATTTATTAACTGTTCACCGAATTTTAAAATAGTCTCCATAGATTTTGCCAAGAACTCAAATACTCAGTGACAATCACTTGATTCTTCAAAAAACGTGCAAGATAACTTGGGGGGGGGCGGTTTCTTTGTTTTGTTGGACCCAGATGTCAATAAACAGAATGATCAAGACTTGAAAATTCCCGGAAAACCTTGTGGTAAAAGCAAGGTCTCTCCCTCCCTCGGTGCCTCTGCAACGAGTGTGCCTAGCCACACAGGGCGCTCACTTAAGCAGGCTTCCCTAGTCCGCCCCCCCCCCCCGAATTCTGATGCTGTTAGCCTGCGGTGGGCCCAACAGTTTGACTGGGACAAGCATCCCCAGGTGATTCTGATGCAGGTGTGACGTGGACTCGCTAAGAAACACCCCTTTAAAGCCCCGTTCTTCCAACTCGATTACACGGACTTCTAAGTACCCAGCATTTTCTTTATAAACATGAATCTTCACGAAGATGATTTCCTCAAGTGCATCATTCAACTGGCTCACTTCCTCTCAGCAGACCTGCCACCAAGGAAACCATCAGCATTCAAGACATGATCAACATTGAAAGTAGTTCAGATTTAGCCGTCACGCCTGTATTTAAAGAAAGAAAGAAAGAAAAAAAGCTCAACAGTATGTTTCTCTTACTCAGGTTTCCAACACATTTTATTTTGCAGACCACCTGCTTGTAGCTTTTGAGGACCAACATGGGTTTCAATTCCTATAAAACGTCCAATTAATTTCAGTTCTGCGGCAGCCCCTCGGTCCCGCGCACCGAACTTATGGCTTGAGTTTCCAGTAACACGTGCGAAGAGGCTGCGCTTTGGCCCCTGAAGAAGGACGCGTCCAGGGTGGAGCCTCTTCCAGGGCTTCGCCTCCCAGGTGGTGGTTTCCTTTGGCAAGATGTCTGGCTGTTCTCTGGGCTTCGGCGCCTGCAGGCAGGAAGTGCTCAGAAGCTTCCAGCGCAGACGCGTGAGGCATCAGTGCACTTGTGCTTGAGGACAGGAGCCCCCTCCTACTCATTCCGTAGGGGAAAGTATACGGAAGCCTCTGTTTTTAAGTTAACACCGATAAACACCTTTTTAGATTGCCTATTTGTTCTAGAACTACAAAATTTACCTCAAGAAAATATAGGTCCCGTGAAAGACTTAAAAGTTTTATAAAACTAAAATCTAGTTTTCCCCCAATAAACGGTATTTTAGCCAAAGTCCTCCCGATGCTTCTAAAATAATACTAAAAGGGGCATCTGGTTATACAAGAGCAATGACAAAAGTTAAATATTTATTTGAATAACAAGTTGGACGTCCGAGCCGCACAGCTGGCGATACGCGTTTCCACACAGATCACAGGAAGCGTGCACGGAAAAGTACTGGCGCAAAGGACAAAATAACGCTAAGGATCAGGCTAAACAGCTGCCGATTTTAAGAAATCAAAGGCCTGAAATCACCGTACAAAATATAAAAGGGATTAAACGCTGCTATCCACAGAACGGTCTTTATTTTTGATCATATTTAAAAATTATTTGTGTAGCTAATTATATGTTGACTTGTAAATGAGTATTATACATGAACCCCCTTTCGGAGGGCAATTCCTTGCTGCGCTATCGAACATCTAATTACATTGCAGAAAGTGTCCTTTTTTGCTATTGATAAAGAAAACAGTTAATATTACTGTAAGTATTTAGGAAGGCTACAAAAAAAAAGAAGGAACATTTCTTTTTTGTCTTCAAAGTGCTTCCCATGCAGAGTTAAGCACTTGCCTGGTTTAACTGAATGCACTCTTGGGTCAAAGAGATGCTATGGAATTAGAAGACTCAAAGGACTCATGCAACCCTCTCGCTACTGGGATACCATTTTGTCACTCACTCACCAATTCTGTCTTTCCAGAATACCATTCCAGACACTTCAAAAAGGGTCACACTGATAATGATAAATATACACAAAATGAAAAGACACAAACTGCTATTTGACACTACAATGGGTAATGTCTGTGCTACGTGAAAGCACCTTTAAAAAGAGCCTACTCGGCAAGAGATAAGTGTCTAAAGATTCAAAATGAATCAACAGTATTGGATAACAATATAATTCTCAACTCAGAAGCTGCCTCAAGATTAGGTGCATCTTCAGTTAATGTAACGGGAAAAAAAGGCAATGGATTTTATTTGATTAATTGCATCCACTCACAAATCGACCTAAGGTCACCAGATGTGTAGACACAATGAGATTTTTTTCATTGTTGTTTATAGTCTTTAATTGAAATGATGATAAAGGAAATAGAGCTATTTAAAAACAAAACCACACAGCTGCCTCGGCCTAGATTAAGAGGTGGCACCAGGTGTGGGGTTCACATTCTGGGTGGCCACCTGTGGCGCGACCTCGATGATCCGGGGTTTGTCGATGATCCTGGCCGTGCGGTTACCCTTCTCCACGATCCCAATAATCCATGCTTGGTGGCCTTCACCGTATTTGGGGGACTTTATCTCTGCGCAGAACCGAGCTGCTTGCTCACGCGGTAAACAGATGAGAAGGCCTCCTGGCAAAGGGAAAAAAAAGAAAAAAGGATGACCGTTAACTGTGATGCTGTGTCTGCAGTCTCCCTGCCACCATCTCTCTAGAAAATGTCCGCACTGAGCTACGTTCTACGAAGAAGCCGGCTGCACTGCCTTCGCCTCTTCCACACTGCGGAGTCATTAAGCAGCTCCTTGGTCAGCTCCTACTGTATTTCAAAACACACATGACAGAATTTAAATCATGAAAACGCCCCACCTGAGAATCGTCTGACGCTGTGGAGGTAGCAGTGAGGTGTTTGAGGCTCAGTAATATACGTGGAGGCTATCTTTTCCAGGCTGCGCTGAAAGGATTATTTAAAAACGAAAGAGAACTTCTCCTTTTCTATTTGATTCTCTACATGGAGTCCTCATTTTACAAAAAAAAAAAAAAAGGCTTTTGGTATATATATACTTTTTAAGTTTAAAAATTAAGGTCAGGAAGAAAGTGTGCGTGCCCCAAAGTATCTGGGTTCTGTCACTGGTTCTGTCATTATCTTCAAAATGGAAAAAATATAAGATATATGAAAAGAAATCTTCATTGGTACTTGAGTAGCCAGGCCAGAATATTTCATACACTTGTAAGTAGAAGAAACACAAATCAGGAAAAAGTATATACTACACTTTTACAAAAAAAGGAGAAACTTCTCATATTCGAAAAAGAGACAGGTTGCATTAGTTGGGAATATTCGTTGGTTTATTCCAACTGATTCCATGCCCTCCAGGCGGCAGGAGCTGTTCTACTAGCAGTTCAGTTGCCCTCCTGGAGCTTATTTCTAGGAAATGGATTTCGTATCTATTTCGAGGCCAGGAAGTGGAAGGATCCTCTCTACTGCCATGAGAGGCCCACCAGAGACCCCAGGCCCCCCTAAAGGGCTGGTGCGTGGGTGGGGCTTTGTGGTCTTGGCCTCTGGGGGTCATAATTTCTCACGACCAGGCCCACCCCAGACTGACTTAATTAGGTTTCCTAGTGGTCCAGTCTAGGCATGGGTATTTTTCTTAATGCCCAGGTGATTCAACTGTTTTACCAGGGTAGGGAAACTACTGAGTTATAGAACAAATAAAATAAGAAGTAAAAGAAACTAGGGGGAGAAACGAGGGTTGGGGTGCGGGGGGGGGGACTGAAAAGATGAAACAGAGATCCAGGTAACAAGAAGAAAAAAACGGGACTTTGGGGCTTCCCTGGTGGCGCAGTGGTTGAGAGTCCGCCTGCCGACGCAGGGGACACGGGTTCGTGCCCCGGTTCGGGAAGATCCCACATGCCGCGGAGCGGCTGGGCCCGTGAGCCATGGCCGCTGAGCCTGCGCGTCTGGAGCCTGTGCTCCGCAACGGGAGAGGCCACAACAGTGAGAGGCCCGCGTACCACCAAAAAAAGAAAAAAAAAAAAAAGGGTACTTTGGAGACATAGTATACTATTTCATCTCACAACAGCAATTTTAGACTTATTTTTGCAAGGAAAAAATACAGCCTCTTCAATGTAACCTATGGATACATGGGTTATTTAATATGCTGAGTTGTCAATGGAAACTGAATGATGACCTATTTTCCCCATAACCGCCCTCCCTCCCTCCCATCCCATCACCAAACACACAAACACTGGACTGAAAATGACACTGCTCATCACAGGCAGGACGGCAGGAGACGCTGCAGGGGGCTGAGAACCCTTGCAGCCAAAACCTCATGTGGGGTTGGGGGGTGTCCAGCTCCTGGACCTGGCTTCCTCCTCCTCGGGGACATCCCACTGGCCTCCCTGCTTAACCCTCAACCCGGCCTGTGGCCCTGGTACCTGATGTCTCTGGGCAGGTCCCGTGCATGAGGCCAAACATGTTCCCGCAGGCCTTGCTCACGGCTGCCATCTTGGCCAGGACTGGGAGGTTGTGAATCACAAAGGACACCTCATTCCTCTGCTGCTTGGCCAGGTTCTGTGCGTGGCCCAGGATCCCGAAGCCCGTGATGTCGGTGGCCGCGTGGGCATTGAACGTGTGCATGAGTCCCGCCGCTGCCAGAGGACAGAGGAGCCTTTATCATCTGGTGTCGTGAATGGAGACCCAGAGAAAACACCCTTCCTCAACTCAAAATCTTACATATGCTTTGATCTCAAAACTCCTAATTGGTTGGCAACACCATACGATGGAAGTGAAATCAACAAAACCTGGAGTGGAATTCTGAAAGTTGGTTTCCTAGTTCAGTTTGAACCGCTCAGAACAGCAGCTTCAACCAACATTAAATGCCAGTAAACTAAAATATCTGTAGAGAGGAAACGCTATCTCAACAAAAGGTAAACCTGTCTAAACTCTCCTAAAATCAAAGAACAAGATCTTTTAAGACTGTCTGACCTAAATTCAAGGTACTTTCCTGATGTCTAAAAGGTTAATCTCTTTTATTTTTTAATTAAAAGCAATAAAACACTTTATCTTTTGGAGTAGTCTTAGGGTTAGAGAAAATTGAGCAGAAGTGCAGGAAGTTGCCGTACGGTGCCCCCCAACCCCATTTCTCCTGCATTGACACCCAGCATCAGTGTGGTGCTGTGATGAATCGGTATTGATACGTCATTACTAACTCCAGTTCAGTTTACACTGGGGTTCACTTGATGTTGTAGAGTCTATGGGTGTCGGCAAATGTATGATCACGTGTATCCATCATTAGAGTATCATACAGAGTACTTTCACTTCCCTAGAAATTCCGTGTTCCACCTTTTCACCCATTCCTCCAACCCCTGGAAACCACGGATCTTTTTACTGTCTCCATAGTTTTGCCTTTTCCAGAACGTCAGAGAGTTGGAATCACTATATTTGGTCTTTTCGGATTGATTTCTTTCACTTTAGTAACATGTACTTCAGGTTTCTCCGTATCTTCTCATGGCTTGATAGCTCACTTCTTTTTAGCACTGAACACCACCACCGTCTGGATGGACCAGTTTATTTATCTGTTCACCACCTACTGAAGGACTTGTTGGTTGCTTCCAAGTTTTGGCAATTATAAATAAAACTGCAACAGACATCCATGTGCAGGTTTTTGGGTGGACAGAAGTGTTCAATTCATTTGGGTAAACACCAAGGAGCACAACTGCTGGATCTTATTAGTAGATTTAGTTTTGTAAGAAACTGCCAACCTCTCTTCCAAAGTGGCTGAACCATTCTGCATCCCCGCCAGCAATCAATGAGCTGTTATTGTTCCACATACTCACCAGCATTTGGTGTTCTGGATTTTAGCCATTCTAGTAGACGTGGGGTAGTACCTTGTTTTAATTTGTAATTCCCTAGTGACGTATGATGTGGAGCATCTTTTCCTATGATTATTTGCCATCTGTGTACCTTCTCTGGTGAGGTGTCTGTTCAGATCTTTGGCCCGTTTTTTGATTGGATTTTCTTATTGTTGGGTCTTGAGAGTTCGTTGTATATTCTGGATTATCAGTCCTTCATCAGACGTGTTTTGTGAAGATTTAGATTTTCTCCTAGTCTGTGGCTTGTCTTTTCATCCTCTCTCTCTTTCACCGAGAAGTTTTTTTATATTAATGAAGTCCAACTTGTCAATTTTTTCTTTTATGGATACTGCTTCTGGTGTTATCTCAGTAGTCATCACCAAATTCAAGGTCACCTAAATTTTCTTCTAAGTTATCTTCTAGGAGTTTAACAGTCTTGCATTTTACATTTAGGTCTACAATCCATTTTGAGTTAATTTTTATGAAGGGTTTAAGACCTGTGTCTAGATTCGTTTTTTGCCTGTGGATGTGCAGTTTTTCCAGCACCATCTGTTGAAAAGATTATCCTTTCTCCATTAAATTACCTTTGCTCCTTTGTCATAGAGCAGTTCAACTATACTTAAGCGGGCCTACTTCTGGGCTCTCTATCCTGTCCCATTGATCTATCTGTCTCTTTTTTCACTAACGCCATACTGTCTTGATGTCTGCAGCTTTATATGAAGTCTTGAAGTTGGGAAGTGTCAGTCCTCCAACCTGCTCTTCTTCAACACAGTGTTGGCTGTTCTGGGTCCGCTGCTTCTCCATATAATCTTCAGAATGAGTTTGCCGATACTCACAAAATAACTTGCTAGAATTTTAGTTGGGATTGCATTACTCCTGTATTTCATTTTAGGGGGGAAAGTAACGGAAAGGCTAATTTTGGAATGAAATATGCCCTGTGTTTACAGAAGTACTCTGGGGCGAATGCCTTTTTGGGGTCCATTTCCTCTCTTTAGACCAAGATCTCTTTTACTTGGGTGCAATCTCAACGACACATGCAGAGAGGAGAATCGACCCTTCTAGTCCATGCTGCTAGATAAGCAACTAGGACAGCCCATCCTATTAACACACCCGCACCTGGTGCAGTGGGGCAGCCGATGACATTTAACAAAGCCAAGACCTGCACTTCAGCTCTTCCCAAGCTTTGAGGACCATAGTAGATAAGAGGACCCACTGAATCCTACAGTCAATAAGAGGGATTCAATTTTTGAGGTACTGATTACCACTTCTTCCCTGTATGGGGAATTACTGTTGCTAATTTTTACTACGGAAATTTCAACGAAACACAAAGTAGAGAGTAGCAGCCCACAACGAACTCCCACGTACCCAACAATGCCCAGCTTCAACCATCACCACCTTTCTTCTGGGGCCTCATCTACTCCTGCCCACTTGTTGGGGGATGTGGAGGGTCCGGGGCGTGGGCAACTTTAAAGCCAACCCCAATCATATCACTTCGCCTATAAATACAATATTTCCGTGTGTGCCTCTAAAAGATAAAAAAACTTTTAACAGCCACAGTATCATTATCACACCAACAAAATTGATACTACATTTGATTGTTCTCTCTTAAACTTCTTAATTTTTAACAGTTTCCCCTCCTTTTCCCCCCACGTCATTTACTTGTGGAAACTGAGCCATTTTTTTCTGTAGCATCTCCTGCATTATAGATGTGGTGATCTCCCCCGATGCTGACATGTTCTACCATCTTCCTGACTTCCTGTACTGGTGTTCAGGACCAAGGCTCCAAGAGACTCAGGTTCATTTTTTGCTGGCAAGAATACTTCATGGGGGTGGGGAATATCTCAACGAGAACCTTTCACCAAAAGGTTTTAACAGCCACTGATGTTTGCTGTTGAGGTTCATTAAATCAAGGGATCAGCAAAAATGGCAACTTTGTAATTTTTCCTGTGTTTATTAGATGTGACCTCTATAAAGAATTCTTTAGAAAATATGGTTTCCCTGAAATACACTCCATATAAAACAGGTAAAATAAGGGGTTGATTCCTTTTATTTCAGAACAAGTTGGTGCCCTAGCAACTTCCAAAGGTGACCAGAAAAGTTTTAATTATCATTTGTTTAGATACTTGATATGGTCACTCTTGTCTTTGATACTCAAACTGCACCCCCCTCTCCACTGTGACGGGTGGGAGCCCCTTCAAGCTGTCGGGAAGTGACACGACCCCACTAGTCACTGACAGTGCCACCACTTTCAGGCACAGGAAGGCCAGGCTTAGCTTCTGTACTTCCTGTCCCCAAACTGGAATCTGCCATTTCCCCAGGGAGTCCTGGCACTTTTTCGTGGAGAACATTAACCTTCCGAACAGAATCTGGGCACTAGGACTTCAGGCCTGCAGGTTATCACTACTTCTAGGCCTTTTCAGTAGGCACGGAAATGAACATTTTTATAGAAAAAAAAAAATCCTGAGTTCACACTGATAATTCCAAATTAAAGATTACAGATTTCACTTAGCTTCTTTGATCTTACTACTTCTCTCTTATTCTTAAAATCTTTGTTCCTAACTACATTAACTTATTTGCTTTATCTTACTATGCCAACATTCTCACAAACACAAACCCACTGATGACAATGAAATATTTTTGTGGATTTTTGTTCTGAGGATGTGCCCTGAAACTACCAGGCTCAAAGTGATTTGAAATAATTCTTCATGTGATTTTGCCGCTAACTTAGAAATATGTTGAACGACCTTAAAAAAATTTTGGTTCGCTGGCAGTCTGTATATCTTCTTTGGAGAAATGTCTATTTAGGTCTTCTGCCCATTTTTGGATTGGGTTGTTTGTTTTTTTTATTATTGAGCTGCATGAGCTGCTTATAAATTTTGGAGATTAATCCTTTGTCAGTTGCTTCATTTGCAAATATTTTCTCCCATTCTGAGGGTTGTCTTTTGGTCTTGTTTATGGTTTCCTTTGCTGTGCAAAAGCTTTTAAGTTTCATTAGGTCCCATTTGTTTATTTTTGTTTTTATTTCCATTTCTCTAGGAGGTGGGTCAAAGAACCCTGAGAAAACCATAATTCAAAAAGAGTCATGTACCAAAATGTTCATTGCAGTTCTATTTACAATAGCCCGGAGATGGAAACAACCTAAGTGTCCATCTGATAAAGAAGATGTGGCACATATATACAATGGAATATTACTCAGCCATAAAAAGAAACGAAACTGAGCTATTTGTAATGAGGTGGATGGACCTAGAGTCTGTCATACAGAGTGAAGTAAGTCAGAAAGACAAAGACAAATACCGTATGCTAACACATATATATGGAATTTAAGGGAAAAAAAATGTCATGAAGAACCTAAGACAGGAATAAAGACCCAGACCTACTAGAGAATGGACTTGGGGATATGGGGAGGGGGAAGGGTAAGCTGTGACAAAGTGAGAGAGTGGCATGGACACATATACACTACCAAATGTAAAATAGATAGCTAGTGGGAAGCAGCCGCATAGGACAGGGAGATCAGCTCGGTGCTTTGTGACCACCTAGAGGGGTGGGATAGGGAGGGTGAGATGGAAGGAGACGCAAGAGGGAAGATATATGGGAACATATGTATATGTATACCTGATTCACTTTGTTATAAAGCAGAAACTAACACACCATTGTAAAGCAATTATACTCCAATAAAGATGTAAAAAAAAAATTTGGTTCGGAGTTGTAAAATATGCTGTTTTAACTTTTAAGTATAGAAAACTATACAAAACATTTATTTCCAAGTCAAACTTACAAAACAAAGCATGTTCAGAGAGGGTCTGCTTCCTCCCTATTCCCTCTTATATGTAACCATTTTTATTAATGATTTATTTTTTCCATTGTTTCTTTTTGAAAGTATAAAATACATATTATTAATTCATATTCATTTATGAACATACATTTATGAACATACAAATTAATTCATTTATGAACATAATTCATATTCACTTATGAACATGCTTTTTTCATCTGGCCATATCCTAGAGATAGCTCCCTAGTAATAAAGGTTTCTTGTTCCTTTTTATGGCTGTATAGTATTCCTCTGTGCACAGAGATGAGATAATCCAATCAGTCACCTAGTGATGGACATTTGGACTGTTTCCTTCTTTTGCAGTTATAAACAGTGCTTCAATGAATAGCCTTGTACACATGTCATTTCATACTTTGGCCTCTGGGACAGACGCACAGAAGTGGGACTTCTGGGTCAAAATAAACGTACACAGGATTTTGCTAGATATGACCAAACACTCCTGCATAGTGTTCTGCCATACTGTATCCCTACCAATAATGTCTACAACTTAAGGATGGGGAATCTTAAATGCTCAAATTATAAACAAACTAATAACCCACATGGGTAAAAATAAATCCATTACAAATTACTTTCTTATTGTTAAACTACTTAATTTGAAGGACCAAAGAAAGGAAAAAGACTCCTTAGACTTTTTTTTTTTTTTTTTTTTTTTGGGGTACGCGGGCCCCTCACTGTTGTGGCCTCTCCCGTTGCGGAGCACAGGCTCCGGACGCGCAGGCTCAGCGGCCATGGCTCACGGGCCCAGCCGCTCCGCGGCATGTGGGATCTTCCCGGACCGGGGCACGAACCCGTGTCCCCGGCATCGGCAGGCGGACTCTCAACCACTGCGCCACCAGGGAAGCCCTCCTTAGACATTTTGAACGGCACAGGAAGAGAAGTACGAATGAAAAGCCTTGGTTGTAAGTGATAAGAACATCTGAGAACACAGAATTAAATAATTACAATTCAACTTAATGTTGAATATTGCCAAAGAAATACTCCTGGAATGCAGGAAAAAAAAATTATAAAAAAATTTGATCTCAAAATAAATTGTTCAAAAGTAGGCAAAAAGTAATTTAGTTATGGCATATCACTCTGGTAGAACATCTGGCCATTAAACATTATGTGTACTAGGATTATATAATATGGAAAAAAGAATTTAGTGATATTAAATGAATAAAAGCAAATTCCAAATATGAGTAAAATGTACGCTAACCATTCGTTTACAACGTCAACAATAAGACAACAATAAACCACCAACCAAACCAACCAACCAACCAAAGGAAAAAATCCTGGGAAAATATTTTTATACATAAAAATATTAACAGAAGCTGTTTTTGGCTGGTGGGATTATGAACAATGTTTTTTCTCTTTTTTTTCATTTTCTGAAAGCTTTTCTATAGTTAACATGATTTTTTTTTTACAGTAGAAAAACTATAGAAAATAAACAGGAAGAGAAAACATATCAAAGAATCTTTAAAATGTAGCATACTCTCAAAAACTGTGGTATACCACCACTCTGGGAATCATTTAGCACCTTCTAGAAAAGCCGAGGCAGTACTGCCCTCTTTCCTACACATGTGCACCAGAAGTTCTCAGCAGCAGTCAGTCATGGAGTGGAAGATTATACAGTGGTGAAAACAATGAAATCCAGCTACACACACCAGCAATTGACACTCAGGAATATTGAACAGTGTACAAAACAGCAAAAAGGAAATAAAATGACACAGGGATGATTTAATAAAGCAAAAAATGCAAAACTAACTTATTGCTCAAGGGGACAAGGCTATGTGGCAAAAACAGTTTAAAACACATGAGAATAAACATTAGATTCAGAACAGCGTCGCCCCTTTCCCCGAGCTGGGTGTGGGAGGGGCCCCTTGGGGCTTGTAAGGCCAGGTTCTCTTTCTCACATGAGATGGTAGACACATGGGTACTGTACTGCTGTTCCTTAAGCCCTGCACAAATTTTATAAAATAACTTTTGTATCAACTCAGTATCTAATAAAAATTTTTAATAAACAAGGTGGGAAAGGCAGATGTTGGAAAAAAATCTTTCACATTTTTTTAAAAAATTAATTATTTATTTATTTTTGGTCGCGTTGGGTCTTTGTTGCGGTGCGAGGGCTTCTCACTGCAGTGGCTTCTCTTGTTGTGGAGCACGGGCTCTAGGTGTGCAGGCTTCAGTAGTTGTGGCTTGTGGGCTCTAGAGTTCAGGCTCAGTAGTTGTGGCGCACGGGCTTAGTTGCTCTGTGGCATGTGGGATCTTCCCGGACCAGGGCTCAAACCCATGTCCCCTGCACTGGCAGGTGGGTTCTTAACCACTGCAACACCAGGGAAGCCCTCTTTTCACACTCCAAAGTGATTTTAAAATCAGAGTTTCGGAGAAGATCTTTTGAGATCCCCTGTTCAACAATCAAATTTCTTCTTCTTTTTAAATAATTGAAGACTTCATGGCTTAAGTATTGCATATATTGGGTTCAGAGTCATTTGGGGTAAGTTGTAGAATGGGAGGGATGAGATTTCTGACTGCTGGCTCAGCGAACCCTGAGTAACTAAATAAACAGGGACTTGTTTTAGGATAAGATTTTTGAACTTCATCTAGAACTTCGTCTTCAAGTATCTTCAAAGTTCCAAAATAGGATACCACACAACCCAAACCCAGGTCCTTAAATACAACATGCAATTAATGATGAGGAAGAAAACTGATATTTCCAGAATAAAACTGTACCAATTTCTATCACAGGCTTATGTAGATAGAACAAGTGGGAGAAACAGTGGCCTTTATAAAGTTGGACAGATTTGGGTTTGAGAATAGACCTGCGTGTATTCGTTACATGTATTTCTTTTCAGACAAAGGAGGAAAAATAGGATCCAATTCACAGGATTGTTCAAAAGATGTCCATAAAGTACCAAAAAGAAGGGCTAGCACAGAGTTCACTCATTCCATCCAGATTTAATGACCCCTGTGGTGTGTCCTTCACTCTTCTAAGTGCTGTGGACACTGCAGTGAACAAAAGAGAGCTCCCTGCCCTCCTGGAGCTCACATTCTAAATGCTGGTTTGCTTCCAAATCCTCTGTACAGAGCGACCCACACAGATGCTTTTCCAGAAAGGGTTCCTCTGGCTGGTCAGAGGTTAGGACTTCAAAGACACCCAACAAGGGCTTCCTTCTTTTTTTTTTTTGCGGTACGCGGGCCTCTCACTGCTGCGGCCTCTCCCGTTGCAGAGCACAGGCTCCGGACGCGCAGGCTTAGTGGCCATGGCTCACGGGCCCAGCCGCTCCGCGGCATGTGGGATCTTCCCGGACCGGGGCACGAACCCTTGTCCCCTGCATCGGCAGGCGGACTCCCAACCACTGCGCCACCAGGGAAGCCCGGGCTTCCTTCTTAATTATAAAATATACCTGGTGCTTTCTATACAGGTATGAACGCTAATGAAAATCAACTGTAAGATGCTTAAACTGCATCAAGTGAGTCCCTTGGCAGCCTTGCTGCTTCCCAGAAGATGAATCCTGGCTCTTTCCTGAACTTTCCTGTTTTACTTTAAACTACTTTTAAGATTCTTAGCATAGTACAAAGTACTGGTTCAATTACTATGCACAAAGGCTGTGGAGAGGGCCTTGATCTCTTACTAAATCATTAAGAAAAGGATAGAATATAACATTTAAAGGCATTATAAGCAGTAGTTTCAAAGCATTAAAAGCATATCTGGCTTCAAATCCTAGGTCCCCATCGATTAGCTGTGACCTTGAGCAAGTTACTTAACCTCCCTGTGAAATGAGAATAATAGTAGCTACCTTGATAAGGTTGTCAGAAGAATTAAATGAGAAAATATGTCAGGTTCCTGGTACATAATAACTATCAAATCAATGGTAACCACTATTATTATTATTACTTTCTAATCAGTATTAAGAAGCTAGAACTAGAAATGAAATGTCAAAAAATTATGGCATGAGTGTCATTACTCATTTATATACACAAATCTGGGAATTAAAAATATGACAAGGTTAACACTTTAAATTAATAATTCAGTCAAGTATTTCTGAAAACATGCTATATAAATTTCTCTTCTGTTTTTATTGGGGTGCAGAGGAATTCAATGCTGCCCATAATCACAGGAATGTAGAATTTGAAGCAACAGAGAGAAAATGTGACCTCAGCTCTCCATTTCACAGATTCATAAAGTGAACTGATGACTTCATCCATACTTCTCTGCTTCTCCCCGGTGCCTGGCACTGCCCCCACGGTGAGCGATTCTAAGCCAGAGGGGACACAGATGCTGGCACAGGCGCAGTGCTCTGGAGAACTCCAGATGCACAGCTCAGAGAGGAGTGGCTGGGGACAAACGCTCACGGCTTCACCACGTGACCTAGCGCAACGTTCAGGCCAGTGGCCAGCCGTTTACTTCCTCTAAGGTGAGTCACATTTACCCCACACTTCTGTCAAGAACGCACGACATAGCTGGAGTCCCACTGGTGCTCCAGGCACCGACAGAGGGGGCTCTGCAATCACTGGCCCAACCTGGCCCATGGCCAGTTCCTCCAGCTAAGAATGTATTCTGGTTTTTTGTTTTCTGTTGTTTTTTTTTTTAAAGAAACGTGTTAAAAGAGTCATGGGGGGAAAAGAAAATCAAAGCAACTGAGACTGTCTGTGGCCCACAAAGCCCTAAGTGTCTCCCGTCCCAGCCCTGCTCAGAAAGCTGGCCAACCCCTGCGTGGCGAGCCCTGGCCGCACCTGTCCTGTTGAGCCTGGCCATGTTCATCATCGCCTCCTGGTACGCCAGCTCCACATCCTCCTGGGTGACCACCAGCTTGATTTTATTCCATTTCTCAGGCTAATGACAGGAACACAGGTGAGGGAGCAAAGAGAGAAAAACGTGATCAGTCTTTGCTTCTAACCACTGAAAGAGTATTTTTTCCTTAGCCATCTTCTGGGGCGTTCTGCTTCCCTAATTCTGCACACAATATTAAGTTTTCTAACTCTTCCCCCCGTGACTACTGCTTTAAGTGGCCGTTAGATATATCATCTGGCACCTTCTCTGTCCTCAGCCACACCTCTGTAGTCAAACACTGCAGCGTACTGGAAACTTGAAACCAGCAAGACAGTTCTGAATGTCCTTGGGTTCTCTTCTCCATCTCCCCTAGTAAGCGGATGGCTTTCATTTTTCATGTAATTTATACTCTTACTGACTTGCCCTGAATTCTGGGATCAAGTCCTCTTGAGGGACAAATGAATGGGAAACAACTTGAACTGTATCAGCTATGAGGACGGCATGGGTGACCACAAAGCACATCCTCTGAAAGACTGCCGTCTTCCCCCTTCTTCCTCAGTCTGATTTTTAAAGGATCTGGCATCGCGATGCTGAAGTTCATCACACACAGTCATCACGGTCCATTTTAATAGCCAGCATTCGTGCGTCTGTTCCTTTCTTGGTAATACCCAACATCTACTGCCCAACAAGTAACTTAAGTCTATGTCTGCGTCCCTCCCTTATCCCCCTGCCTCCATCTCTCCCCCAGAGGTAACAATGATTCTGAATTTTACACTTGTCATTTCCCTGCGTTTCAAAAAATAGTATCCTCGTACGTATAGATGCCCAAACAATACTCTTGGGTTGCTTCCGACCTTTATGAAAGGGTATTGTGCTGTTACTTTGCCTTTGAAACTTGCTTTTTTCAATTCTGAGCATCTTTAAGAAACTGGTTAAAAAAAAGCAAAGGCAGTGTCAAGCTGGGGGTGGGACAAACAGAAGGATCCCAGAGCCCCTCCTCCTGGACCCCCTCTGCCTCACCTGGGCAGTCGTATTGGAAAGCACCTCTGGATTACTGGCCTATAAAAGCCCTATGGTCTGACTCACAGGTGATCACACCTGATGGGAAATCTCCCCATCCTCACTGGATGAGAAGGGAAAAATAACTAAGAATGCGGCCTCCTTAAGAGATTTTCTCTGCTCTGTTTGTCAAGCTAAGATATACCTGGTTGACGAACAACATAAAATTGTTCATTTTCACTTGTTTCTCAGGACTGATGGTTTCAGATGGCAGTTGTAGAAATTAAAAGCATTGAGATATGTGAGAATATACCACAATCATATTAATTTTTGAGTTGTTATGGCAATGAAAAGTCTTAAATGAAGAACAACTGATCATAGCTCATTTGAAAAGTGACTCAGGATAAATATTTTCATATTCTAGATGCTTTCTCCACGACATAATTATTTATCAAAATGTTCTGAGTTACTAATTAGCTTAAAAAGACAAAACAAGCAACCAGAAATGACCAAAAAACTCATGACTAAAATAAATTAAACTGTCAATAAGCCTGGCCTTAAACCTCAAATATCAAACCTTGCACATATTCTCCTCTGTATTATTATTATTTTGGCTCCGTTGCGTGGCTCACGGGATCTTAGTTCCCGACCAGGGGTTGAACCTGGGCCCTCGGCAGTGAAAGTGCGGAGTCCTAACCACTGGACCGCCAGGGAACTGCCTCCTCTGTATTATTTTTTAGTGATGTTTAAGTATGAAAGACATACCCATCTCAGCACCAAATGAACAGATAACCTGCACTCACTGTCCTCCAAATTCTCATTATGGATTATCTCTGAACCCCGAGCAGGGGATTACCTACTTCAAGCATTCAGTACACGAAAACTGGATCTAATAAAAGAATAGGGACAATTCCCAGGATTTCTGAAGGCCTAGATGGACAGCACACTCCCTGGTACTAAAACTAGAAGAGCTTATTTTAGAAACCACACTGCTGACACCGGAAGGTGAAGGTCACTCACAATGTCCAGCCACTGGTGCACGGCCACAGCCACCTGCGTCCCCAAGGGCTTGGTCAACACGAGCACATCGCCTGGCACTGCGTTATCTGGCCTGAAGAAGAGAGCACAGGCAGGTCCTTGTCAAATCAACCGAGGAGATAAGTTCATCATTGTCGGTTAAACAGGAGAAAGAAAAGGCCGGTAAAACCACTTGTGTGTTTGCAAACACTCACTTATATTTAAGCCAACTAATGCCATGTATTAGAGCTCTGCCGTTTACTACTAGGATGACTGACGAACAAAACATTAAATGAAAAGTGAGGAGGCCACGGACTTCGACAACACTTAGGCCAGTGACTTATCAGTTTCCCAAAAAAGCAAATCGCTTAGTCTTCAAAGGCCTCATTAGGCCCTGATTCAGCCATGCTCTTGTGTACTTTTCTTTTTCTTTTTTTTTTTGTGGTACGCGGGTCTCTCACTGTCGTGGCCTCTCCCGTTGCGGAGCACAGGCTCCGGACGCGCAGGCTCAGCGGCCATGGCTCACGGGCACAGCCGCTCCGCGGCATGTGGGATTCTCCCGGACCGGGGCACGAACCCGAGTCCCCTGCATTGGCAGGTGGACTCTCAACCACTGCACCACCAGGGAAGCCCTCTTGTGTACTTTTCAACACAGACCCACCAGGGTTCTGAGGCAACAAGACTTCTGGAACAAAAACGGTTGTTCCTTTTCTTTCTTTCCTTCCTTCCTCCCTCCCTTTCCTTCCTTCCTTTCTCTCTCTCTCTCTCTCTCTCCTCTCTTTCTTTCCCTTTCTCTCTCTTTTTTTCACAATCACTTATATGATAGAGATGCAGGTGGGATTTCTCAGGATGTGGGATTTGGCTAGAATCCGTGGGTCTAATGTTTTGGTGATTTCAGCATCAATGTTTCAAACTCAGAGTTATGACCAATAAGTTTCCTACTTGGTACACAGGGTCCCTGTCTTAAAGACAGAAGGCAAATACTAAAAAAAGGCAGCCCTAAAAGCAGAAAGACTGTCCCCCCTCAGACAAAACTCCCATCTCACTTGTATCCTCACGACCAGGACATGGGTCTAGCACTCATGTCTTTCTTGTCCAAGTTCAAGGAGCTGTCCACACAGCCATCCCATCCCCTGACAGCGAACAACTCAAATACTCATACGAGTCGATTAAAAAGCCAGGGGCACAGACTTAAAAATCAACAACTAGCTCCTCGACTCATCCTGTAATATCTATATCCATTGCTAGCTTTGAAAAATATTAATTCTGGGAGGATATACCAGAAACTCATTTTCCAAAAACGGGACCTTAAGACATAAATGCCTTTCAATTCTGACTCAACTGCACCTGAGAGCTGATGTGCTCTTGTGCGTCACTGGTTATGTGCAACCTACAAATCTGTATCAGCAAGTGAAGTATGATAACATTGCTGGGTTATTTTTAAGTTTGTGGGCAGTCTTTTACAAAATGTTATGACCTGCATAGGTGCATTCTTATTTTACAAAGTAAGCATACATGTTGTTGACAAAAAATTCATTGAAGCCTGTTTTATTGTTCTTTCCTCTCCCGTTTTTTGGCTACAGCTGGGTTCCTTTTCTATGGGAAAGCTGGAATGGGGGAGACAGGTGCAAGTTCTCTTGTCCCATCTAAGTGGAAAGTTTGAGAACTACCAACATAAAACATAGGAAAATAAAACCTGGATGTAGGTAAAAGGCAAGACCCTTAACACGGACGCACCCATCAGTCAAAAAAATGGACCAAAGACATGAATACATGAAAATTACACACTCACCCTTACTCTCAGGAGTAAGGCAAAGACCAAGGAGGCTGTCACCAGGCTGTGCTAGTTAGGATGGGGCAACCCAGCACTCTCACTGCTGGTGGAGCCTCTATGAAGGGCATTGCTGGTGGAGCCTCTATGAAGGGCAAACTGAAGACATCGATCAGAATTATGGTGCACAGGCAATGGACCCAGCAATTCCATTCTGAAAAATTTCTTACCAAGAGTCACACATGCAAGATGATCTATGCATTGGAGTACTATGTGTAATGTCAACGTAACCGAAGATAATCCGAATGTCAAGAGTTACTTGTTTAAAAATACCCAAGACTGGTCAAAGTGTTTGCCACTAACGACTGAGGGCAGGTGAGGGATTCTGCACCGCAGGGCCTTTCACACCCCTGGAGTTCTGAACACAGTGCCTGCTCACAAAATCAGATAAAACAAACGGAGCTTTTGCTTCCTCTAAGAATAGGACAAGGTGGCTTTTCTGAATAAGACATCAAACACGAAAAGGGCCAACTTCTGTTGAGAGAGAAACTTCTCCAAGGATCTAGAAATGGCCAGAGGGCACAAGAAAAGATGCTCACAGACCTGGCCACCGGGGAAATGCCAATCAAAACCCAGTGAGATGTCGCCTCATACCCACTAAGACAGCTATTACCAAAAAGACAGTAAAACAAGTCCTGGTGAGAGGATGTGGAGACATCAGGGTCCCATCCATGGCTGTGGGCAGGTAAAACGGTGCAGCTGCCTTAGTCTGTTCCTCAAGTTAAATAGTTACCACATGACCCAGTAATTCTTAGGTATCTACCCCAGGGAATTGGAATGTATATCCACACAAAAAAACTTGCACACGAGTGTTTACAGCAGCATCACGCACCACAGGTGGAAATAACTCAGAGGTCCATGACCTATGACTGGATGAATAAACTGTGGTCTGTCCATACAATGGAATGTTATTCACCCATAAAAAGGAATGAAGTAGTGACACACATGCAAGATGGATGAACCCTAAAAACACGCTAAGTGAAAGAAGCCAGACATAAAACATCACATGTTGCATGATTCCATTTATATGAAATGTCTAAAACAGGCAAATCCATGAGACAGAAAGTAGATCTGTGGCTTCCAGGGGATGGGGGAGGAGGGAGTTGGGAGTGGCTGCTGTGGATACAAGGTTTCTTTCTTGGGGAGACGGAAATGTTCTGGAATTGGATAGTGGTGATGGTTGCGCAACTTCGTGAATACTAAAAGCCAATGAACTGCGTACTTTAAAAAGCTAAATTTCATGTTATGTGAAATTTTTTATATGAATTATACTTCAGTAAAAAAAATCTAAAACTTTTTTATAAACAGGGATGAGGTACTGATACATGCTGCAAAATGGATACACCTTAAAAAGATGAGCAAATATTCTGTGAAGTGGAAGAAGCCAGGATGGAGATGGGGGATGGAGATGGGGGCTGGCAGTGGGGTGTGACAACCGAGGGGGTGGATGGAGTTTCTCGCTGGGGCAATAAAAGTGTCGTGAGGTCAACTCTAGTGAGGGTTGCAAAACCCTGTGACTATACCAAAGACGACTGAATTTATAAACACTTTAAATAAGTGAAATGTATGGTATGTGAATTAGTATCTCAATAAATATATTTTTAAAGAAGAGAGAGAGAGAGAGAGAGAGAGAGAGAGAGAGAGAACCTGGCCAGGGGACATGAAACCAAAATCAACTTACATGATAAATTCGTTGGGCTGGCAGACAGTTGTAGCCACACCTCCTAAAACAATCCAGGGATTTAGCACTGTTTGGCCGCCGGTTACAGATGTTCCGGCCTCCTCTGCTGCATCTTTAAAACCCTGTATAATTAGGGGCATCACTTTATCCCTTTCCTACGGTTTAAAAGGACACAAATTAAAAGTCACATCATTCAGTTCAAAACCCAGAAAAGAGAGTCTACCCCTGTAGTTATAAAAAGATCATAAAACCCTTACAGGAAGCCCTGAGAGTTTACAGAAGGGGCAGGGAACAGTTCACATGGTATAGCCCTTTTATCAAAAGTCGGAAGAGATCTAGGTCACAAAGCGAATGTAGCCCAGACGACAGAGGAGCAAACACCGGAACAGGCTGGGTGCACAGGGCTGCCCTGTACCTGAGCCAGCTCTCTGGACGGTCCTTAACCAACCCGTGACCAGCTAATGCGTGCCCACGCGCCCGCTCCGGTTGTCTGTGTACAAGCAGTGGCCCGAGAGCACGCTGTGAGGGCAGAGAAGGGCCTGTTGAATGCTCAGTTCTACGCGCAGGGCAAACTTCTGGCGGGGACGAAACCAATTACCTGTCAAAAATAATCTAAACAGGAGTTCACCTCTGGGCCAAGGAGGGGGTCAGGCAGCGAGGCCACAGATGCTAGCGGGTGAGCACAGGGCACCCCAGCCCCACCGCCGTCCACGTCACCAGCCAACCGTGACCGAAGAGTCGGGTGCCCGGCCTGGAGGTGCTGTTACTGCGGCCTAAACGTCACCACAACACACGCACGCAAACGTGCTGGCTTCAGTTTGCCCAGGAGAGAGAAGCGGAAGCAGCGGGTGGGGATGGAGACACGAAGAGGCCAGCCTATTCTAATTCGCTGCTAACTGCCAAAAAGCAGAGGGCGGGTGGGACATGGACAGCCTGACTTCACGGCGGGGAAGGAGGGCCAACCAGACAAGTGACAGGACCACAACCGGGGCCGAGGATGCAGCCGGACCGGCTCCTGCTTACCCTGTCGGTCATCTTATTGCTGATTCCAAGGAGCATCAGCATGTTGTCGCATTCTGTGACCCCCATGGCGTAGAGGTCGCTGAGGACGTTGGCACAGGCTATCCTGCCCTGGAAGAGAGGGGAGACGTGAGCAGGCGCCACAGCGGACTTGCCAGGACGTGGTCCCCGGCTCTGTGCTTCATGGACTCACCGCCTTTCCTCCATCACAAAACCACTCTCGGGCATTCCCGTTACCACCTCTCCTTTCTCGTGCAACACCCATCGTCTCCAGGTTCTTTCCCGTTCTAAACTTTAGGGAGAGGTCTGCAATTTATTTGGGTGCGGAACGGAGCGGGGAGATGTCGGGGAAAAGCTTGGAGTGCTTGGTTTCAGAGGAGCCGGAGTGGAAGTGCTGGGAAACAACTGTGCTAAAGAAGACGTGGAGCTGCCGCTTCTCACGAGCAGATCCTTAAAAATGTCACCTTTATTGGTTATAGAGAAGATGGGTTTTATATACCTAGACGGAGAGATCTGGGGAGCTTCTTGTACGAGATAAACAGGAAAATCATCTTGGTTGAGAAACAAAAAGAAGAAATAAACGACACCTAGGCCTGAAATCAGATTGTTTTCTAAAGACAAAGGGAAGCATTTCCCAGTAAACTATAAGGTTTTATTGAGGAACTCTGAAACAGTACTCAACAGAAATGTGGTAATAAAGATTTTCTACTGCCAAGAGACATTTAAAAAAATTTTTAAAGTTGCCCTTCTCTAGACAGTAAAGGAGAAAACGACCAATTTTTCTTTCTGACGTAAGGGTAATCAAACCACAAGTTACTATCACTTCCAGCGGCCGTTTCATTGCCCGTTTATGCTGTCTCACGACCTCCTGGCAGGTCGGCAGGGAGCCTGATCACCTCCTGTGACTCACTCGAGGTAACGGGCGCAGCGCCGTCAGCAGCTGGGAGGCACCAACCACAGGCTCGGGCTGCAGCGACCTGCTGCCCCTTCTGCGTGGGCGCTGGGGTCCTTCTATGAGATGCTGGCACAGGATGAACTCCGGTTCTAGCCCCCTGGGCCCCTGGACAGGTGGGACACCGGGGGAGTGGCGTGCGCGGCTCTCAGGATCGCTGCGCCAGAGGAGAGGCGAGAAACAGGTTTCTGGGAGCGTGCGTGCTTGTCTCCACCTTCAGACCTCCCGGCCTCAGTCCCTACGTGTGGGGCTCGATCCCAGTGCCCCTGGCACAAGGAAGGGCCTCCGGCACTTTCTAATGATAGGATGTTGCCAATCTCTTCATCGGCTCCTCCCAGCTGCCAGGGTGGAGGGTCCAGCTGGGAAGAAGGAGGGGCTGCTGGCAGCAACCCTGCGATGAGCAGGACAGGGTGTCGGGGCAGAGCGTGATCAGCAGGCGGATGCACACGCCACACAGTGGAATAAGACATGGGGAGAGGGGGTTCCCTGGTGGCGCAGTGGTTGGGAGTCCACCTGCCGATGCAGGGGACGCAGGTTAGTGCCCCGGTCCGGGAAGATCCCACATGCCGCGTAGCAGCTGGGTCCGTGAGCCATGGCCGCTGGGCCTGCGCGTCCGGAGCCTGTGCTCCGCAACGGGAGAGGCCACAGCAGTGAGAGGCCTGCGTACCGCAAAAAAAAAAAAGACACGGGGAGGGGGAATGACCAGATTCAGGATCAACGGTCAGGTTTAGTGGTGATGAGATGCTAAGCTCTTTCTTTCTGGACAGAGACATCTAGGATCAGTCCTATTACAGAGGATGGTGAAACACAGGAGTGTGGCATTTACAAATGTCCCAGAAAGAAAAGTACAAGGAAATAAAGAAGAAAACTACAAACACATCAGTCAACAGACACGCTTAACAGGCCACAGGTGTTCTGGCACAGACACACAGGCAGGTACGAAAGCAGCAGGGGACACCCCCATCCACCTTCACTGCCTGCCTCATGCACGGTGCCAAGTGTGAGCAAGGGATCGACCAGATCATATCTACAACCACGGGAGTCAGGGCAGGGGTAGGATGAGAGCAATTTGTGTAGAACGGAAACAAAAAAACCCACACAAGAATAACAAAACCCCAGCCACCACCCAAAACCAAAAGAGTAAGCAGTTCCAGATGTAAAAACACGTCGGTTAAACTTACCATCATGTAAGGGTCATCGACGATGGGATAAATGTAATCTGTGGTTTGAACCAAGGAAAGACCGCCGTGCCTCAAAGGAATGACACAGGTATCCATCCCGATGCCTGCAAAGATGGGGGTCATCATCATCCAAAAGTCAACAGGAAGAGCCATGTCATTTTGTACCTGCAGTGTTCTGAATAGGAGGGGTTTTGCATAAGACACTTACGGAACACTGCTCACCGCCAACAAAGCAATGTGTTTCCTATCAAGAAGCATAACTGCAATAAACGTGAAACAAAACCAGCTTAAGATAGAAAATGAGAACACAATTTGTTAGTCATAAGACTCAACTTCAACATGGTACAATTTTTAGACTTTAACGATGCCTTGAACAGGAAGTTTCCTTTGTGTTACTGTATCACGTGACTGGCACCATACAGAATTTCTGTAAAGATGAGAAGAGCACAAATGGAACTTGGGTTGTCTTCTCCATAGTTACTTAGGAGTATATCTTTGGGCATGATTCTGTTTTTCCAACAGAAAATCTGTAAAATATTTTACACATATAAAATGCTATTATAGGGCTTCCCTGGTGGTGCAGTGGTTAAGAATCCGCCTACCAATGCAGGGGACACGGGTTCAAGCCCTGGTCCGGGAAGATCCCACATGTCGCAGAACAACTAAGTCTGTGCGCAACAACTACTGAGCCTGCGCTCTAGAGCCCGTGAGCCACAACTACTGAGCCCACATGTCACAACTACTGAAGCCTGCGCGCCTAGAGCCCGTGCTCCGCAACAAAAGAAGCCACTGCAATTGAGAAGCCCACACACCTCAACGAGGAGTAGCCCCGGCTCGCCGCAACTAGAGAAAGCCTGTGCGCAGCAACAAAGACCCAACGCAGCCAAAAATAAATAAAAATTTTAAAAAATGCTATTATACTACATTTTAGTCAAAAATGACAAAAATAAGAAAGGAAGGAAGGGAGAAAGAAAGAGAAAGAGAGGAAGGAAGGAAGGAAAGAAAGAAGAAAGAAAGAAAAGGACAATGCTAGAACAAGTATTCATTGATTCCAATCAAGCATGTACATAAACACTGTGGCTCCCAAGAAACTTTAAAATTCCATGCATTCCACTCATGAGAAACTTATGTCACCTCTACTAACTTAATGAGCAGGGAAAGAAAAATTTGCTTAACAAGCCTATGGGATATATTTCAACTTATTAAAAATTGTTTCTAAACATTTAGAAAGATAACACAGACAACTGATGGGCTAATTAGAAACAGTTCCCTTTTCCTGAAATCAGTTTAGAAACAGTCAAGACTAGCTACTGCAGGCTACATTTTTTTAAAAAAATCACCTGTAATGCAAACACTTCAAATTCAGACTGGCCTCTCACCAGGTAAGCCTAATGGAGTGCTTTCCTACACTCACCTCTCTCAAGAGGATGCCCTCTGGCCCTTAGGAAGTATTTCAACCTTGCAGCCCAACGGCCAAAAGCAAAGGACAAATCCCATGAAGTACGAAAGGAAGCAGGCAGATGTTTACCGTCTCGATTCAGAATTTCAAACGGAATAAGTCACACCCGAGTCACACAGAGAGGACCACGTGTGGCTTTCTTTCACAACTACCCCAGCACCGTGTCCAGTCCCGATCCATTCTTACTAACACTAAAATAAAATCAAGTTTAGTGAAAGATCGCTCTGTGTAGGCAGGCTGATTTTTTTATTACTACACTAGATGGCAAAGCAGAAACTCTTGGTGGAAGATCCAGTTAGGGAATGGAGGACTTTGCTTCAGAATGGCAAGCCTCACAAATTTGTAACAATGGAACGCTCATTACCAGTGATCAGAAAGCCTGTGATGATTCATCTCAGCGACGCATGTATGCAGAAGCGCCCTCTAGCGGGGCTCTCTAGCACTCAAGAGCCACAATTAAACTCATACCGACTGCTCCCCCAAACCGATCATTCCAACAACTGGGTGTTCCAAGTCTATTACCATTCACTTTGGAAAAGAGGGAAGAAATACTGTTTTTCTTTTAGATTTTCATATAAACTATAGGACTATTGAAAGAGACACTAAAAAGAGTTGCTGAAAGTTAGCTTTAAATGTTTTGTAATGTGGGAATCTTAAACTGGAATTCAATCTTTTTGATTTGTAAAGCAGTTAATTTCTCTTGATACCCAGCATCAGAGCGTGTGAACCATGACTCCCCAGCACGCTCCTGGGGCTGACAAGAAGCTTCCATCTCCTACAAGTCCTCTCTCTCCACCAGGACACCACTCCGTGTTAGAAGGAGGGTCAAGGGCTGTCCACATGGGAACCACCAGCCACATGCGGTTACCGAGCATGTGAGATGGGGCAATTCCAAAGTGACATGCGCTGCAAGTGCACACACTCGATTTTAAACACTTAGTACCGAGAAAAACCCACGTCTTGTTAGCAATGTTTTATATTAATTATGTATTGAAATTATAGTTTTTATATACTGGATTAAATAAAATATATTAGAATTCAATTCCCCTGATTCTATTTTTTTTTTTTTAAATGGAACTATCTGTACTAGAAAATTTTAAATGACACAGGTGGCTCACCTCATCTTTCTTTGGGACAGCACTGGTCTGTAGTGACTGGTCTACAAATCACCTACCAAATTTCAAGAAAGGAAGAGAGAGAGGGTGAGAATGGGACAGGCCATGGGCCTTGCAAACGAGGGTATCGAGTTGAGAGAGAGAGGGCCAGTACAGGCAGAGGGCAGCTAAATGCCAGAGTAGAGGCAGCCTCAAATACCAGACCGAGCAGGGTGTATGTAACCATCAGTGGGTGGTGACGGGGAATTCTAGGTTTCAGCAAGACTGAAACTATCCATCAAAAAAAAAAAAAAAAAACCCAAATCATCACTCTGCCCCCACTGCCAGCAGCCATCAAAACATGGCAGCTCTTAAGCATCAGGCAACAGAGGTACCAAGTACTAAGACACACTTATCTTAACATTTCTTTAGTTAGAATACATTTAATAGAAGTGTATATTTAACAACTGTTACGGTTCATCCTTAGAATCCAGGAAATATGACATTCTTTTAGAAAAAAAATTTTAAATACAGGTCAACAGACTTGTGTGTATACGTTATATAAACATTATACATACATACACAAGTATTATGTACATGGGTACAGGTGCACATGGTGCATATACATACATACACGGATAATTTCTGGTACTCACAACAGTTGCAAACAGTGAGTATTATTACCCCATTTTACAGATGGGAAAACTGAGGTTCAGGAGGGTTACGAACTTGCACAGAGTAACATTTATTTCTCTTTCTCCTGCCTGGACCCTTGCTGTCGACATTTGTCCCCTTTTGCCACTGCTGAGTTACAGCAGACGCAGCTCCTCTCCCCATGAACACGTCTGGACTTAAAAACCAGATGATAAGCAGTATGGTGGGCGGAGGAATTGGAAGATGTGGATGCCAGTTCCTGACCCCCACCAAGTGACAGGGAACAGGTTACCCGGCCTTCCTGAGCTCCATGGAGTGCTCAAGAAGTCAACGGGGGCAGTTACAGAGGGGAATGATGACTTTATCCATGAGGTTTTGACTGCATTTGTCTCTGCCCATTCGGCAGCTTATCTTTCCCGACAAAGTTATCTAAGAGCTTTCTCAGTATATTCTCATTTCTTGACAAGCAAGCTGACATCCACTCCACCTCATTCATGTGGTATTTCTCCACGCTGAGACATCAGCTAGATGACGACGATTTTCTAACTGAGCTCCTGCAAGCCCTACAGGCCCCGAGAGTGCAGGGTGTGAATTCTCCTCTCCCACCCAAAGCAACTCTGTGTTTATCTGCTTTATACATCAGGAAAGAAAGGAGTACCCTAGGTTCAAAACCAGTGTTGTAAGACAGAACGTGACCATAAAAGAAATGCAGTTAAAACCTTATGTAAGAAAGCTGATCAACTCATACACCATAACTACAAAACACCCACAAACTCCTAGAATACATGTCAAACACTCAAAAGGCAAAGTGATCACAGTCTTGCATCATGTACTTAACAAAGCACACAAGAGAAGCTAACAAACAGCATCCCAGTAGCCTAGAATTTCTTTCTGAGCTCTGTGTTTGAGAAAAGGCAAACCACTAATGGCAGCAGGAACTGGGTCAAGGAAACACGGCTCTCAAGTCCAGATGCCGTCCTGGGGTCCAGACCCCGTCCAGCGTTCTCACCTGCTGTGTCTCCCTCCTCCCCATGGGAGCTTTTCAAACAATGCCTGCTGCACAGGAACCCCGAGTTCCCCCCAACCCAGGCACTGCTCTCTAAAGGTGTCCTGCACGACACCTTTCCTACTCTGATTTAATAAAAAATGCTTACTGTAATACAATTGTCTCAATCGCATTGTAACAGTTTCAAAATGGTTAGAGCATATTGCTTCATGTTTTTCAAGTCATTCCTCCAAATAAGTTACAATAAGGTAACAGTTACCATTGCTTTGCTCTTTGAATCCTTCTTGCAGAAACTTAAAAAAAAAAAAGGCAACATGGGAGGAGAAATCTAGTTTTTTGACTCACTGACTACATTGCAGCCAAGATGCTCTACTCAGGGAAATATGAAAGAAACAGCAGTTCACATACCAAGCCTTGGCATAACTGCTCCAAGAAACTGCTCATCTTCTTGGAAGTGGTTCTCCTGTAAGGATTCCAGCAATTTCTGCAGGACATCTTGGGGCACTTTGCAGCCGGTGCCCTTCAGTTCAGTGAATCTGGTTAACCGGAAGCTCTTGTCCAATTCATAACTTTCCGGGTTAAAGGACTCCCGCGCAGACATGGTTCTCGGGCGCACACACCTCACCGCTGGGTTCCTCCCCTCCCTCTCCTACACGGCTGGTTTCTTTACAGATCCACCTGGGTAGCACCGAAACACAAAGACACCATTAAAGAGTTCTTCTTACCAGTACCCGACAAGAATCTAGTGAGTGAATACATGACAGTGAAAAGTAAACATGAAAAGGGCTGCAATCACCAAGACCACAGGGAAACAGCCATCTGGGACCACAACAGTTTGTCACAGTGATGCATAATCTAGAAGTCATTTTAAAAGGTGACTGTACCATTAGAGACATATTCTATGGAAGGAGATCTGATGTCTGTGTTGTTATAATGGTGGCTCTGAGGGGCTGCAAGGAAGACGGAACTATGGGCCAGCTGACTTACAGGACACAGTGCCATCTTAAGTAAAAAGTTCCAAACGTTCTTCTAGCCGGCAGCATTACAGGAAAACTAGTCACTTCACCTATCAACCAGGAAGTACTATGGTTTAGAAATTAAATGCCCTGGCTAAAGTGACTTTTCAGAAGACCTTTTACCATCTTTTGCTATCTCACAAAGAAAAATAATATGCCTAACAGATACTTTTGGTGAAAAGGACATCGGTGGATATGCATTTGATGAAATTCTTTACGACGCTAAATTCAGTTTTAGAAAAACAGGTTTTCATTCTGAGCCAGAAGTACACGACATGATCCAAAACTAACAGGAAGCCTCTCTAAAGAACACAACTTGAAAACTGGAATGGCTGTTTAACACAGCAAAGCTCATTTTCTACAAGAGAGCAGTGGAAAGTTTTCTCATGTTTTAATTCAGTGCTATTTCCTAGAAAGCAAACACCCCGCCCAACAAACTAGTACACACACACATCATTGATAAAATATGCTACTGCTCGTTACTGTTTCATTGCAGACCTAAAGTGATAAACTGTACTAAATCACTAGCATTTATGGTACTTGGTATCACTGGAAGTTTCTGGAACAAACTTTTCTAAGCTTGAAGCCTTTGGGGCTACACGAAAACCTTCCACGTGCTCCCGGGGTTTACAAAACTTCCAGACTGATACTTTACTGGGCATAGAATTAGACACCCCAAGTTTTAGGGTCAGTTTCCCCTATAAAATTTATCATTAAGAACATAATTCCCATTTATAGAATTTTCGATCCCCTGCTAAGCCCATCACTCATTTAAAATAAATCTCCTAGAGTCTGAGTTTGGGCAGTAATCCAAACTGTCTTTACAAAACCATGTTTGGGGTGAGCAATGATTTCCGTTTGAAACCTACAACCGTAAAGGAGTAAACCTTCCAACATTCCAAGAAAACCACCTGTCCGAAAGGAGGGCGCCAGGAGAGCTAAGTTATGGAGCTGGGAATTTTGAAGCCATTTTAGAGTTAGGAAAAGTCCAATAGCAGTTTGACTTGGGTTTGGAACAAAAACAACAGTCCTTTCCTCACCAAATGCCTCACACTTAACACCGCCTCACTCCTACCAGGGGAAAAAAAAAATCCAACTCACGAGGCATCCAGTTATTTTCCTACCTCCAATCCCTATCCAAAAAAAAAAAAAAAAAAAAAAGGCGGGGAGGGGCACTTGGAATTCAGGGAGCTAACTTCCTTTTAAATCTTCCTAGGTTTTTAAGGGCAAAAAGTTTAAAACACCTTAAGCCCAAAAGGCACTCAGGAGTTTTAAAATTCGAAATGGAACGAGGGACGTAAACCACACACATCGCATCCGAATCCTAAAAAAACATAAATTCTTACATTTTTTGGACGGGATGAGAAAATGGGGGGGTGGAGGGGGACGTGAGGAAAGGCGTAATCAATGGTGGGGGGCTGGCATAACACGCAGACTTCAACCCCGAAGCCGCCTGTTTACACCTTTAAACAATGACATGAATATTTAAAAACAACGGTTAACCCTTTCCTTCTCGGCCACGTTTTAATTTTTTCAAACGAGGGCGCCAAGCTGGCCGCAGAGCCGAGGGAGCACGGTAAGTGGGGGCGGGAGAGGGGGCAGCCCCGGCCCGGTACCTACCTCCCCCCAGGTTCCCAAGCCTAGGAAATAAAAAACGGAGGGGACGCGGCGACGTGGGCGCAGGGGCAGCGCACCCCCCGGGAAGCACACGTCGGGGCGGCAGCCGGTGCGCCCAGGGCAGCGCTCGGGGACACCTTAAATCCCCGGCTGCCGCCGTTAAAGGCCACCCGGGCCCAGGCTCTTTGTGCGGCGCGGCCCGGTGGAGGCGGAGCGGGGCGGCCAGCGGGGCCATGCCGGCCCGCCCGCTCTCTGTCCCGGCGGCAGCGGCGGGAAACGCGCGGCCCAGGCCGCGGGGCGGGCGTGAGGCGCGCACGGCCCACCGGCCGCGGCGGGTTCCCCGGCTCGCGGGCCGGCCGGGCCGGGACGCCCGGGGTCAGGCTGCGCCCGCGGGGCCGGAGGGAGGACGCGCGCGGACGGGGGGGCGGGGAGGGCCCGGAGGCGCCGCGCGCCGCGCCCCGGGCACCGGGCTAGGCTCTCCCGCCGCGCGCGCGGGCCGCCGCCGCCGCCGCACAAAAATGTCGGCGGGCGAAAAAATTAACCCCTGCGTCGCCGCCCTCCCCCTCCACTCCTCCCCCGCCCTCTTCTCCCTCCCTCCTTCCTCGGCCCCGCGCGGCAGCGGCGGCGGCGGCGGCGCGGGCGGTGCTTCTTTTTTAAAGCGGCCCCACCAAGCCCTGGCTCGGCCCCTCTCCAGGCTGCGCTGCAGAGCGCCGACCGTGCACGGCTCCCGGCGCGCCCAGGCGGCCCGCGAGGGGATCCGCACGGCCGCCCTGGGCCTGTGGGCGAATATTCCCCTTTAAGCCTGGTGTCTCGCCCCCCCTCCCCGAGCCAGGCGCTTACCGGTTCGCTTTGCGCCCTCCGCCTCCTCCCGCGAACGGGACTCCGCCGCTCCCACAATGCACCGGGCGCCGCCGGGCTCCCTTAAGCGTCGCCTGAATAAAAAGGCCGCTCCCGGCGGCGGCGCGGAGGGCGGGAGGGCCCCGGGCCGCGCCTGGGCGCCGCGGGGGCTCGGCCTGGCTCGGCGGGCCCCTGCCGGGAACGGGGCCGCCGTGCGCCGCGCGCGAGGGTCCTTTAAGGGCCGGCTCCCTCCCTTTAAGAGGCGGCGGGCCGCGGCCAGAGCGGCTCGGTAGCTGCGTGCGGCCCGGCAAGGGGGCGGGGGCGATGTGCAGGCCCAAGCGCGGCAATGATTGGTCTCGGGGGAGGGGTGGGGGGTTGCAAGCCAGAGGAGAGGTGGCATCCGTTGCATGATGCAAAAAGGATTGATTTCAAAAGTTGCGAGTTGCATTGGCAGCAGCCTTTGGCGCCCGGGCCACCTCCTTTTCCTTGATCCGCTGGAAGGGCCGGGAGTGTCCCAAAACCTGGCCGGGCTCAACCGCGCTGCATTCTGCGGGACGCTGTACCTGCTCCCCCAAGCGCCCCAAGCGCTGCCGTTGTTCCTACTGGTAGACAATGTGCGTGGAAACAATTTGAAAATCGAATCGGAGCAGAGGAAAGGCCCCCTCTGCTGCGATGAAGGACTTCGAAACACAGACGGCGCGTTTCGTTAATAACGAGTCTCCCTTCTATTGTTCAGCCTGGCTCGGGAGTTAATATGAGCCTTAGTGAACGTGCACACGTCCTGCAAAGTTTCTTGAACGTTTCATGTGCTTGGTAGGAAGTCAAAGCTTAAGGTTCCTCAGTTACATTGTTTTCTCTCCACGGGTTCAAGTAAACATGGCAGTCTAATACTGTTTGTGTTTGAATGGACACCCATAGGAGCGATTCAGCTTCTGAGATTACTTTTTTCAGGTTTTCAACTTTCTAAGGCACTGCTGAATAAAATAAAGCAAAATGCTTTCCTATGGCGTCTTTTAGGGCTCCCCGTAAAACCGAGAAGTGAAGGAGGGGATGCCGATCAAAGTTTTCTAGAGTGGTTCAACGTTTTCCAAATGTATTTTGGGGCAGGAGCGTTTTTTAACCGAAAGGTGCTGTAGGTTCTGTTGTCAGGTTTGTAGGCTACGCAGATGCCCTTTTCATTCTTAAAATTTCTGCTTGGCAATTCCCCAGGGTTTTGATCTAGGTGAGGATGCAATCGTGATGCAGTCTAGGATGCAGTCCAGGCTGATGCAGGCTCCTCTCTGTCTTTTCTCTGCAGCCCTACAGGAAGTTAGGAAAGAGCATAGTAGCCTAGATTCTTTGATGTGTTGGACTTTTGTCAGAGTGGCATAACCCACTGGTTGACAAACCTAGATTTGCCTCTGAATCGCCTGGGGAAACGCAGGTACAGGCAATCCCCAGGCAACACTCCAGACCTTCTGAATCAGGGAAGGAGGATACAGATATCTTAACTCCCCTCATCTCCTCCTTTTTAAAATCGATTTTGTGAGTTGTTTGGGGCATTTTGGTATGTTGTGTGTATTTTTTAGCAATAAAATGTCACAACTAGAAAAAAAGATTTTGGGGATTGGGGGAAGGTGACAACAGAGGTGAGTAGAGCCCTCTGTGAGGATGCATGTTTTATGCCGAGGAGTTTGCTGTTTATGCCGTAGTCAGCAGAGTTTGTCAGATTTGGGTTTTACAAGTTTAGCTTGTAAAAGAAGGCTGTACCACGTTTGGGAGGATGCCCTCTCCCAGAAGGGAGAATGGGGCCACATCTCTAATGAGGAGGGAATTGTACTAGTCAAGCATGGGGTCGAGGGTATCCGAACTGAAGCTGCAGGAATACAGACAAAGGAAGGAATTTCAGGTGATTTCGTGTATGGTTGGCGGAAGAGGCGGAAGATGACACCCAGTTTTCTAGTTTGGGGGGAACCGGGTGAGTAGTGAGGCTACTCGTTGAAACAGGAACTTATTAGCAAGCAAACAGGTTTGGGGGTTAGTTCAGCTTCGGAAATGTTAAATTTCAGGCACCCGCCAGATACTCTAGGCAGAAGGCAATTGGTAAAACTAGGTCTGGCCCTTGGAGTAGGGGTGGACTCTGAGTCTCAGATGCAAATGTGGGCACCATCAGCATATAAATGGAGTTTGAAGCCCCGGAAAGGGGTGAAATTAACCAGGAGTGAGAGCAGAGGAAGAAAAAGAAAGAGACCTTGGACAGAGCCCTGCGGAGTTTCAAAACTGAATGTCTGGGCCAGCAAGAGGCTGATCCCCGCTTTGTGTGGGAGGCGAGCATCCTCAGAACCCACTCCTTCCTCCCCCAGGCCCTGGGGTTGGAGCTCTCCGGCAGCTCCAGGACAGCTTGAGTCAGATTCTCCCGAGCAGAGTTTGTAGACTCTGGTCTAAGCCACGATGCCTTGAGTAGCCTGGAGCCAGGCTACAGTGTTGGGGACAGATACTCCACCAGAGCTCTCATCCTTCCCTTCCTTTGCCCTAAACACAAGCCTCTCTGTGTGCTTCCCCCCATCAGCTTTTTTTCTTTCTGTGAGCCTTCCCCAGGCGGCTCATCAGAGCCCCATCCTGTTGTGAACCATCTCCCCTGAGTTCTCAGGTCCTACTGGCTCCAACTGAAAGATGGTTCTCCTGGGTTGCATTACCTGGTGGAGGCTTGTTAAAAATACGCATTTACCAGCCCCACTCCAAAGATTATATTGATCAGGTGTCATGGGTGGAATTGTGACAAAGATGATTTGCTTGGCCAAACTTCAGTCTGGCTCCTGAACCTTCTCCTAGACCCATCTGTGCACTTCCTTGTAAAATCCAGTTTTAGCAAATCTGATCACCCTCAGTATCTGATCAGGGTCCTCAGCCTCCACCATCCCCCAGGTAAACATCTGATCACCCTGGCCTGCCTGCAGCAAGTGCTTCTAGAGCCGTGCTGTCCAATAAATACGGTAACACTCCGTGGTGCGTTTTGAGTGCCTGGAATGTCCCAGCTGAGATGTGCTCTCTGTAAAAAATGCACTGGATTTTGAATACTTAAAATGAAAAAAGAATGTAAAATATCTTTATGATTTTTCTATTGATTCATCTTGCAATAGAATATTTTGGATATGTTGCGTTACATAAAATATATCATTTAATCTCTTTACTTTTTTTTTTAATATGGCCACCTGACCATTTAAAATGACATAGGTTGCTCACAGCCTATTTCTACTGGACAGCTCGGCTCTCTATGATGCCCCAGTCCCCAGAGCCACAGACACAGGCATTCAAGTACTTACATGAGTGTTCCACAGACGCTTCAAATCGAGCATGTTCCAGACCAAAGCAATTCTTTTCCTTCCAACCCTGCCCCCCCTCGCCCGCCCATCAGCTCCCCCTCTATTTGCCATCTTGGTGGATGGACCGGTATCTGCTGCACTGCACATGCTAGAGCCCTGGTAGTCATCCCCAGCTCCTCCCTTTCCATTTCCAGTCTTCACTGTTACCCGTCAGTTCTACCGCCTTGATATTGTTCACATCCAAACCCTCCACTCCCCTCCCACAGTCCCTGTCTCTGTTCATGTCTCATCTCTCCCCTCAACTATTGTGGAAGTCTCCTAATTTACGGGCTTTCTGCTGTGATTTTCACCGGTCTCTGTTCAGTCCAAAGTGATTAATGCTACGGGAATGATATTGATCCAAGGCAACCCTGATCATGTTCTTTCTTTCCCTGCCCAAAACCTTTAGGCGGTTTCAATGCCTCTGGCTCCATTTCTCAAAGTATGGTACTCACTCATGGGTGTGAGTGATTTTAGGGTGTACAAGGAAGAACATTTATAGTTACATACACATTTTAACACACACTGGAAACATATAACTAACATATGAAACCTGTGATTTTGTGGGCATTATTCTTTAGGACAAAAAGTGAGTCAACTTAAAGTTGTTTTTTTTAGAATATTTGCTTTATTTTATTTATTTATTTATTTTTAAGGATAATTCCCAAGGTTTATTTATTTATTTGGGCTGCACCCGGTCTTAGTTGCGGCACGCAGGATCTTTTTTAAGTTGAGGCATGTGGACTCTTATTACTTGCAGCATGCATGCGGGATCTAGTTCCCCAAGCAGGGATCCAA